ACAGAAGTCTGTTATTTGCCAGTTATTTGGGAGCAGATTTAGATCTTTCTAAATACAAGTGAACTCATTAATGTGCATTTTTAATGGTTAAATGGCTACTTGAATTAAATTTAGCTTTTCTATTGTGAACTTTTTAGACTATCTTTCACTTAAACAGGCTGTTTTTCTGTTTTCTTAATTGGATATAATCACCATCAGCATTATAAATGAGGAACAGGGGTTTAGTTTCCTAAGTATATTCGAAGTGCTAGGTTTTTATGAATTTAGGTAGGAATTGCGTGACTGCCTAAGTACTTAATACCCTCTATTGTCTTTATATCTATTAGACTTTGAACACTAAACATATTCAGATCTTGATTTAGAACTTCAGTGCTCATTAAAGAAAGCTTATACTAATAAATCTATTCTTATGCTTCTAGTACAGCATTGAAAATTTTCCTTAGCAACATGTAGGGTACCTGCAAACCTCTTGAGCCTGTATTATTCATTTATGGAGTCTGATTGCAGGCATTCATTGCCTCTAGCGAGTGTCAGGTTATTAATGTGCTAGAAATAGCATTTTAACATATATATGTATGCATGTGCACACATGCTCTGTCTCTATGCATGGAGATGTGTGTATATGTATACACACAGGATACAGTATAAATATGTCGCCTTTTAAACTGCTCAGTTACCTTATTTCACTGTGCAACATTTTTCTATTCAGTCAGTATTGTTAGATTTGTTGAATACTGTTCAGTCTGTTCCCCCTCGTGCATTAGTAAGGTTGTGGTCCCAGTACTATTCAGTCATCCTTTTCAGTCATCCTTCTTTCCTGAAAACTAAGGTTTTAAGATACGCTATTGTGCTGTATTCCTTCTGTATTCTGTATTCATAGGCAGCAAAACTGTGCTAGAAACAGTTTTTTGGGTGGAGGGGTTTGTCAGCTGCTCCAGTGAGCAACTGAAAACCTGGAAATTACTTGATCTCGTTCTTTGGCATGTTTCTTGAATTTTAAGCTAAAATAATACAGAATCTTAAAATAGCAAACACCAGAGAACTGGGTATATGGGTGAAAGGATTATTTATGCATCTCCTACTGCTACAAAGAATCCAGACCCTTGTGTCTAGAGAAAATATGGAAATTTCCAATTACAAGTTCTAATGCAGTGCTAATTCTGGCAGCTCTTGCATAGTTTTTCAGATCTATCAAATTTCCTTATGGTCTGATTGCCCTGTTATTGATAAGGGCAACAAATAGTGATAAAGTTGACACAAAATACACAAAAAAGCTAAGAACATTTTTGAGATATTTTGTGTGATCTGCATGTATGCAGGTTATTAGATCCAGAGTTCCTGATAGTAAGTTACAAATTACTACCTTCATAAGATAAACAAATTAAACTTGATCCTGTGGGGCATGGCACCAAAAATGACAAAAATATTGTTCAGTAGTAGCCAAAATGGTGCAGAACATCCTTTATTTTAGGATGTTACTGATTAGCCATTGTGTTCTCAAATTTTGCAGAAATAAATTGCCCTGGAGCCTAGGCCAGACTCACTTAGTGTATGACTGCAGGCTGGGGAGACAAAATTGGTGCTGTTGCACAGCAACTGTGGTACCTATTGATCGCTCGTTCTGCTGATCGCTGAGTTCAGCATTTTTAGTCATGCCTTTGTCTCCAATTCCCATGCATGCATGCTCTGCTTTCTGAGTTTTATTTGGATTGTAGTGGGTAATGCATTATGCTGGATTAGATATACACCATGAAGTCTCTTAACATCCAAAATACAAAGCAGTCAAAGTGCATGTGCCTTGGGGAGGTTTAGCAGAATTTTTCCTGTTTCTGAGGCTGTGTGTTAAGTGAAAGGTGTATTAGCTAGATAGATCCTTCACTCTCTTGTGTTGTTTTTGTGATTCATGTGTTCAATGTAGAAATATTTTTATTAAACATGATTAGGCTTTATACATAAGGGTGGCAACCTGTAATTTTTCTTCTGGTTTCCTGTCAGAGTTTAAACAAACTGCTCTTGTCTCCTGAGATCATTCTTTGAGTGTTCGAGTCACATGGAAGTGTTGACTGCTGTTCCGTGTCTGGAACAGCTTGTGACTGTTTACTGGAAAAAAGCAGCAGCTACATTGTAAAAATGTGCAGTGTAATATCTCTGAATAGCTCTGTTGTTGACACTTGTGTAGAAAATTCACCTACTCAACTACCAATACAAGAAGGCATCATTGTGCAAGACCAACATGTACTACTTACATTGTTTATCTACTTTCTGAAATTTGAGTTAAGTTTGGAAGGTTTGTACCTTCTTGTATTGCTCATTATAGATGTCCAAATGAGGGATAAAAGCCAGGTCAATATAAAATTCCAAACCTGCGTTTAAAAAACAAAAAAGTTCAGTTTCTAGAGGCTTTTGAAAACTGTATTAAATTTGCATTGCAAACTTTCTCATGCTTCATTGTAAATGTTTAAGCCCTTTGGTTGAAATCTGTATGCAGGTAGTCTCTGTCTTGCCATGTTATAGTACTCAGGTTCAAAACTGACGGTTTTGTGTTAAGGCTGTAAACTTGAGTGCAAAAGAGAAGCTAGGCCAAAAAATCCAGAATGTGTTTGTGTTGGATGAAATGAGAATAGATGAAGTTGCACTAAAATAGGATTAGTATTAACATGTTGTAGTGTAGCCGCACAATTATCAAGAATGGAGGAGGAAAGTAAAAAGGACTGGCTTTGGTAAAGAGAATGATGTAGCAGGCATGTTCTAAACTGTAGTAGATTCAAATTGAAGAAGTTTGCCTGAGAGCTGTAATGGATCTCTTCTCTACCTATGCTTTGTAGCATCAAAGATATGAAGTACTGAAATAGTTTAGTAATAGTAATTTGTGATTTTAGCAAAAGTGTCTCCTGTATGACTAAAAAAATGTTACACTTGATAACACGTAAGAGAATATTATATAGGGGGAAAAAATACTTATGGAAGTTGCACTTAAAAATGCAGTGATACACTGGAGGTACTGAGAGAGGGAAGAATAAGAACTGCTTAGGTTTAGAACAACTGACTGTGGCGAGGAGAGGCTTCACAGGTAGAATGTGACTGAGAACTTGACATTGAATAGCTGAAGATTAACGCCAACTATGAGAAGGAATTGCTTTAATATATAGCTTGGGCTTTTGCAGTTATTTAAGTAAATAGCTTATTAGAAAAAATGCTGGGCATTATGAAGCTTCAGGCCAGACTCTCTGCTGAAAGTATTGAAACATTTTCATTACAATGTTTAAATGGAAATAGGGCTTGTCGTTCTCATGTACCCCATTATAAGACATTGTTTTCAATTGCTGTGGACTTGGCTGAACTTTAACTATTTGTACTGAAGCTGTCAGAATCTGATTATTTTTTTAAATTCAAAAACTTATTTAACCACAGTTTAGTAATGTTTGAGAAAAGACTTTAAAGCTCCAGCACTTCTGGCATAGATTATGCATGTATATCATAACCACAGTCAAAGAAACTTGTCCCCTTACATCTTCAGATGGTCCCAGAACACTCAACATCATTCTGCCAGCTCAAGGCTACAGAGTTAGTCCAAGAAATTCTTGTAGCAGTTTATCACAACTGAACTAAAAGCAGGGACTCTGCTGCTGCTCTTAGTGACTTCCAGGCTCATGCCTAATCATATTAGGGGCAGCAGAGCTAGTAGGGCAGCTTAGCTAAATAGCTTAGGATGAGGAGCGTGTGCAGAGGCTGGGTCTCAAGACTAGCAAAAGGTGCGTTTCTGCTCAAGTGTTTGTGATGCTAAAGACAGTTCTTTGAATGTATGGTTACTTGGGTGCAGTGATAACGATGTGAGGAAAATGCCTTCTCTAGATCAGGAGACGGATGGGAGACTTATTCAAAGCTGTATCCATATTCACTGAGCGTGCAGATAATGGATTACTGCCGTTATAGTCACCCAAAGAACTGACTGTGTTCTTGAAAAGCATAGGACACACTGAAATGATATTTCAGGCAACTGTGACTAAGTATGCCCAACCTATTACAAGCAAATTAGGCTTTAGCAATCTTTATCCTTAGTCTTTTTTAAACAAAAACCTATGGCTAGTATAAAAATGACATTTTTTTTTTCTTGAACACACTTCCACGCTACTTATGGTAGACAGCAGCAGCAGGAGGTGGTTGAGCTGATGAAAGAAGTGAAAGCCCCGTACAGGAGTAAAATAAATGACCAAGTTAATTTCCTGAAGTAAGAATGAAGTTACTATTTAGCTTTCAGAAACCTCTGTTGTGGAACTAAAAAGTAACATTATGTATAGTGATTTACTTTTTCTTTTTAAATGGACGTCATCTCATTTGCCTGTATGCTTTTTTATTTCATAGCTTATCCCAGATGAATTAGCATAAAAATTTTTTCTTGATTTGGATATTCTGTTTTGCAAAAGGAAATGGTTGGTCTCCTTCATTAGATGGTCACAGTAGAAACTTTGAGATGGTGAGGAGTGTTTAATGTGTTTGTGTTCTGGTTTTTCTTTTATGAAATCACCTGAAAATCTGTTTATAAATGCAAAAAGTAGGTGTGGATTGATCATTCTGACTTCATGAAGTTCATAAAACTCTCTAGAGTACTTAACAATGGCCAGCTAATTGCAGTTTTTAAAATAAATAGTAGCTGAAATACATGAATGTATGCCTCTGTTTAAAGGACAGTGTTGTCCAAAGCAATGAATTATTAATAGTGAAGAATTGCAGAATTTTATGTCTGAGTATAAAGAAAGTGGTGTGGTTTGTTTTTTTTTTTTTAACTACTACACAATGTTGTCTGTTTTGGAAAAGTAGTCCCTTCCCCCCGGCCCCTTCCCCCTGGTGTGGTGTTAGTTAAATGCCAGGTTTACCCAGAAGAGGTATATAATTTGAAACAAGTAAAGAGTTAGGGGTTTCTGGGTACTACAGACTTTGAATTGTTGTACCTGCAAGATTTATATAAGTTTCTCTTTTCCCCTCCCCTTTTTCTGTTTTAGGTGAAATTGTGGTAAATGAAGTAAATTTTGTAAGAAAATGCATCGCAACAGATACAAGTCAGTATGACCTGTGGGGCAAATTGGTTTGCACTAACTTCAAGATTTCCTTTATTACGGATGATCCAATGCCACTACAGGTTTGTTATTGTTCACGTTGCTACATCATGGCAACAAGTGTGATAGAGCTAAAATGGATTTAATTAGAATACAGTGAATCTGCCTCATATCTGATATAAATATGATGCCTTCTAAAACAAAGCAGGCTGAATGATGAGGTTCCACTGTCCTGTTCTGAATGTGTTGCTATTCCATCCTTTCACTGAGAATATCAGAACAGAGCAAGTTTGGTATGAAGTACAGCCGGCTCTATTTACCTCTGTCTGTGGAGGCTTTATTGGGAAGTGGTTTTACAAAAGGCAAAGCAGGAATTGTATAAAAGCACGGTCCTCCTTGAAGATATAATTGCAAATGTTCCTGTGACTAGACGAGCATCGGATCAGCAAAGCCTTTAATGTGTCCAAGTTTTATTGGCCATTATTACTGATGGAGGACAAAGTAACCATGAAATGAGTTTTCATTGTAGATGAAGCAACAAGGAAAGGGGAGAAAGAGACCAAGTCTTTGTCAAAGCTTAACATGTGCCATTCAAAACCTCTATCAGTTTTTGAACAGAGCAGCATACAGAGCACCGTTTGGAAATCCAAGTTGCGAGCTGTATGTTATTTTCAGTAGAGTTTTCACTTTCATTTTGGGCTTTTAAAAGAAACACTCCATTAACTAGGTATGGGTAAAGCTCTGAAAGTAGATAAATGCTTATTCAGTAATGGTTAGTAAGTTTGAGCAAAGCTACTTTTAAAATCTAATTTTTGACATGTAGTTGTCAAAACTTATTTCTGAAAGCTGAAGTAATATTTTTTTCTTTCTATGGTTACAGCAGTAGTTGGAGGTGTTTTGTTTTGTTTTTACACATCCCATAGTGTTGAATTTCTAACAGCAATTTTTAAGGCTAGTAAATTCAAGTGCAAGTAGTGGGGTTATTTTCCATAACCCGCTGGGGTTTCTAAACTGTTTGGTGTACATGCACCAGCACAAGAGAGCTGTTTCCACAACCTTTAATTGCCTGTGAGTAGGCAAGGGTGGTACATGTCAGCAAGGTCTTGGCATGCCTGAATTTTATCATAGTTTCTTCAAAGTTGTGCTGTATGTCTGGTTGCAAACTGCAGAACTGCAATTAATGGCTATGAGTTCGTGTGTTTCAGAAATTCCATTACAAAAACCTCCTCCTTGGCGAACATGATGTCCCACTAACATGCATTGAGCAGATTGTCACAGGTATGTCAAAAATAGTGGAGTATGATGACAGGCTTTAAACTTACTCAGTTCAAAACTGTGAACTGCTTGTTAGGTTGTACAGAATTGTTGATGTTAAAGATGTTATGTCATTAATCTTCCCTGACTTGAAAAATTTGGTTTATTTAAAATTAGGATAATAGCCTTAAAAGCTGAATAAAACTTGGTACCGTGCAGGAGACTTATTAAGTTGGGTCTTTATATTGGTTTTAAAACTGAATCAACAGGCGTTCTAGGGTAGACACCTGTTACAACAGTACAAAATTTTGTTAGCAATGTTTTTAATATTCATGCATCTGAATCGCTTCCATTTAAATATGCTAGATTGCAAAAAGCGCATCACATACAATATACACATAGCTGGGATATCTGACAACAAAAATGCTCAAGTTTTCAGTCTTGTCTTATTCTTAGCAAGTTAGTAGCTAGTGGTCCTCAAATCTACAATTAGTCACTCAACAGCTATGTCCCCCAGTTTTCCCAGTTACCACAAATAAAATCTCTGTGCCTTCTGTGATGCTTGGTTTTTACAACTTAACCTTCTCTGTTTGCAAAGGAGGTACATAGGCCAAGAGACACAGGCTGTCTGGTTGGCCAGCTGGCAATTTACTAGACTTACATTCTTGAGTTTTATGTAAGGAAGCGCTTATTTATACATCCAAGTTAAAGAAAAAAAAATAAAGCAACCCCCCCCAGCATGTATGCCAATTACTGTGCATCAGAAGGGCATTGCAGCATACACAATTAACTGTCTGGGAGCAAAAATTGCTCTTGGGAAAACTGCATGTTAATTCCTTGTTTGTGAAGTTGTTGATGGACAAAAATAATGTGGGCATACAGGAAACTAATTCAGCCACTTGTTTGAAAGGAGATTGATCAACAGGAGGACCTATAGATTTTCTACCTCAGTTGAACATTTGAAATGTACTATTAAATGAAAAACCGCTGGTAGCAGCATTACGGTGTCTGTTGAGCCAGTCTTGTGTTGTATACTTATAAAACACTATCCGATAACTTTTTGTTTTCTTTACAGTGAATGACACCAAGAGGAAGCAGAAGGTTCTTGGTCCCAACCAAAAACTTAAATTTAATCCAACTGAATTAATAATTTATTGCAAAGACTTCCGTATTGTCAGATTTCGTTTTGATGAAGCGGGTCCTGAAAGTGCAAAAAAGGTATTATATCTTCTTATGAAATCTTGCCTTGTAGTCATTACATGTAGCAACAGCTGTGCTAATGAGAACATTTTGTTTGATGTTTTGATAGAGAAATAGAGGGGAAGAATTGCAAATTAATCACATTCTGTTAGAGTATTTTGATCTTTGTCTAGAGTCCGAAATTATTAGGTAAAAAATTTAACATGATATATTAACTGTTTCTCTTCATATATGATAAACCTGCGTTTCTTGTCAGATCTGTTGTACTTTTAAAAATTATTAATTTATTAAACAAATCTTTTTAAAGACTGGAATTTGAATACTGCATTGCAGCTGTACAATAGATGTTTACGTTTTATGGAAAATGTTTGAAACTTTTAATACATTTTCTGAAAGTCATAAGCTTAATTTGCCCATAGGTACATTTCTTATTTGCTTCACTCAGCAAACTCTCCAATGAGCTCTTGGAATGACCGGTTTGTCTAACCTACATAAAACTGTATGTGCTCTTTCTCAACATTTTCTTAGAAAAGACTTGCATACCTCTTGACAAGAGGAATTACTTCTGTCTGCATTCCTCAAACGTCATTCCTTCTCCAGCTTTAACGCTTGTTGTCATAAGTCTCAACAAAATCGTACAATGTTATTTAACCTGCTAAGGTCCAGATCGGTTTCTGCTAATCGGAGATGGTTAGCCTACCTAAGGTTAGCTTGCCAGTTTACGTGTGCTGGACTGGTGCCATAGGCTAGTTGAGTTACAGCTCCTCTGACCTCCATGGCACCACTTCGTGGCCAGGCGTGGCATAGCAATCGTTTCGTAAGGAATGACCCAGTTTGCTCACAGAGATTAAGAATTCTCCTCCTCATTAGGATAAAGTTTGAGCTTAAGCCTGCAAGCCCTAAGAACCATCTGCCTGGACGTAAGTCTGTTTGCAGGTATCAACTGAGTAACTGGTGAACCAGTTCGTCACTTCTGCACCTTTTACCCTCTGGTACAGATCCATGGGCAGAAGCCCAGTAAGGAAGTAGACTGTTCTTCCCTTGCTACTTTTCTGTGTTCCTCCCGCCTGCTGCCTTTGCTGTTTGTAACCTTTCACGTTTGGCAGTCTTTCAGCAGTCAATTCCCCTTTCACAGCTGCTCTGAAATCTCCCTGGAGCAGCTTGTCGACTGCAGTATCTTTGTAGCAACTGTTTCTAATTGGCTGTCAGAGGCACTAAGAAGACTGATTAGCCTGGAGGAGGGAGGAAGACAGCATAAACTCAGGGTCTCATTAACATTTTTTGTGCTGCATTTACTTACACAAGTGCAAAAAATGAAAGTTTTTTATGAAGGTGCTTGCTTTATACGTTTATAATTACATGGTCTAACATGATTTCTTTTGACAGGAAGAACAGCTAGTTCTAGAGATTCAGAAGGACCTGAATCTGGTTATAAAGCTAGTACTGGTGGTGACCAAAAGTGTAGCAGTTGCCATTGCCAAATATCAGAATGCACTCACTAGAGGAGAAGACTTGTACAAATCCTAATATCAACTGTGTGGCTACTATTGCAGTTGTGATGCATCAAGTAGCTTACTGCAACTTTGTGTGGGTGTATCACAGAAGCCCACTTTTACTGAAGGGAGATAAGGTTTTGTTAACCTAATCTAATGTTCCCATAATAGCATTATTCTGTTACCATTAAAACATAAATGTCTAATACCATGAATCCTTAAATCGGGTTTCTTCTATCAGGATTTTGCTTCAGTTATTTTGGGATGCTGGTGAGCACAATTAGAACAGTCTTACACAGCATATTGAATGAAGTTATTTTGTTCTTTCTGGCATTTAAATGGCATGCTAGCACCATGCTCTTAAATTTTGTCTGGCTTCTCTTCCTGCCCTTCAAATACTATATATTAGCAAGGCTGTCCTGATGTTTAAAAACAAAGGAGAGCGGTCAGACCTCCTTATAGTTCTGAAGGGCCTCTTTAATATATATTTACATCCAGCTATTTGTGCATGAAAACACTGGTAGCTGTCTACTTGGAAATAATTTTGTGTGCATAACTTTTGTAGGGAGGACCAAGATTTAAAGTATAACTGAGCTCTCATAAGAGGGAATTCCTACTCTTTTCTTTGGCTGAGTGTGCTAGCATTGTTTTCTGACCAAGAGAATGCTGTAATAGAGAACTGACCATGGAGTCAGAGGTGCTGGATGGGAGAAGCCTGTGGAGATCACCTAGTCCACCTTTCTCTACAGAGTTGCCAGGATTAGATCCAGGTTAGCTGTGGGTTTTTTCCAGTTGTATCTTGAAAACCACCAAGGATGGAGAGCCTTCTCCCTCTGTGAGCAACCTATTCCAGTGCTGCATGTTTTTCCTGATGTCCAGCTTGAATGTCCAAGATGAGTTTCTGGCTGCTGCCCATAAGGTCATCTGGCAAGACCGAGTCTGTAACAACCTTCCTGGTCGTGGTTTCCATTGCATAGCTAAATGATCCCAGTTTCTTCAGAAGATGTACTTCAGGACCATAGTCATCTTGGTAGCCCATCACTGGACCCTCT